AAGGGACGCCGTGGTCCCCGACCTTCCCCTTGGGCGGTTTCTTTTCCACGCCCGAATGATGCCCCGGAGCTTGACCTTTGTTGAGTCTGCTGGGTTTGTGTCCTTTCAAGCATTAGATGTTTTAACCCTTTCACCACTTCCGGCATCGTGTCTCGGATCACATCTTCGAACGACAATTCTTTCTTCTGCACAGGTTCGTCTCTGATAAATGGGTTATCAACCCCAGAGAAGGCGTCCACAATCAGTTTCCGAGCCGCGATATATCCCATCTCATTTTTCTGACGGAAGTGGAATAGGACCACATCACGCTTATGAATATCCTTCAGCCCTTGTACCACTTTCACCCCGAGATGTGCTTTCTCGGGCCCATACTGAGCGTGGAAATCATCCGCTCGTTCTAGGTATTCAGTGATAGTTTCATCACGAGCCTGTTTCATTCCGTCGTATTGAGTTTCCATTCGTGAGATTTTTGCCACCGGATCTTCCTCTGGAAGACGATATCTTTCAAGACAACAAGCTCGAAGCTTCGTCCAGTCCTGGCGAGTGTCCCAGTTGAGATGGTTATACCATGTATCAGCCTTACCACTGACATTCTGACGGAAGAGTAGACGGCAGTCTCGATCTTTCTTATCTTGCAGGATTCTCTCCTGGATGGCATTCGCTGCATCATCGCTCCCGTTGGATTGTTTCCTAGCTGCTTTCAGTGTTGCAGTCTCACGGGCGTAATCTCTCTCCACAGCTGTTACGATGTCTTCGATGAAATCCACTGGATCTTCGAAGCCGTCTTGAAGACCCTTAAAGGTCTTCACCCGGAAACGTCGGCATGACTCGATCCTCGTTCTCAGATTCGTCAGATGGATACGAGTGGACTTTTAGATGATTTGAGGTATGTTCTCATTGATAGTATTCTATTGAGGGGAAATTGGGAGGAACGATCCTCGCCTTCCTCTTGGGACTAACCCGGTGTTGTGCTGACTCGGCTAGCCCTCCATGGGAAGGAGCTTCTGTGATGATTGACCTTTGTAGCGCTTGCCTAGCAGCCGCTAGGTGTTCACGGTCAGAGAGAGATGATGACTCTGGATTAGCACCGATTGCTTCGACTAGCTTCCAGATTGTCCCAGAATCGAGTTTCGTCTTTGATGGACTCCCACTCGATGAGGATGGCTGATCGTCCATCAACCGGATCTCTGTTTGATTTAAAAAAAACACAAAGGAACCCTTCTGGCAGCGTCAGAAAGCCCCCCTCTGGAACCACC